GCGCGGAGCCTGGGGCGCACGGAGCGGCGCGCGCCGGTCGGCAGAGCCAGGCTGGCGCCCCCGCCCCCCGCTCCGCGCCTCCGTCCGCCCGGCGCCTTCCCCGCTCTTCTTGCCGCCGCTCCTGGCCCTCTGGCCGCTTTCCCTCCCTCCCCTCGGTCCCGCCCCGTCCAGCCCGGGCTGCCCGGCTCCCGCAGGCCCCCCCCGCCGCCCGCGTTCCTATGGACAGACGCACAGACACCTGCAGGTGGGTGAGAGCCCGCGCGCGGGGCGGGGACGAGCGCGCCGACGCTGCGACCTGGGCCGGGGAGCCCCTTTGTGTGGGGGGCGGCCGCGCTGGGGTCCGGGCTGTCTCCCCTTCGGCCGCCAAGCAGTGACCCGGCTGAACCCTCTTTTGTCTTCTCTGGGGGGGGGGGGGGCGGGGTGGGAAGGCCGAGAGTCAGGGCAGCGACCCGGGCGGCCAGCCGTCGCCGGGCTTGGGGGCGCGACGGGTGAGACCCCAGGCGGCCGAGCGGGCTCCGGGAGCGAGCTTCGGCGGCCGAGGCTCTGGTCAGCCTTCGCGGGGCCGGCGCGGCGCCCGGCATCTCCTGTCGCCGCCGCGGGCGCGCTGCGTGGGTCTGGCTCGCCTGCTCCTGCTCTTGGGTCTGTTTGGAGGTGGGAAGGAGGGCGGGAAGGAGAAAGAAAAGATCTGCCCTCTTAGTTTCCAAGTGTTGAGATGGTTGTGGAGAGAGGGAGAGAGGTGGTTCGGGGCTTTGCCCGACTTGTTTCCCTCGCGAGAGGCACGCTGAGGTGCGTGTGGGGCGTGTGTGGAGGAACGTGCATCGCTTCGGTCCCTTATTTATTGTTTCTAACGGAGGAGGGCTTTCTCCGAAGCGCTCTTCCGCCCCCTCCCCCATCCGAGGCTGCGCGCAGTGATTTGTGTTTGTTATCAAATACATCGACAAATGTATTCCCTGGGTGCAAGGAGGCTGGGTTGACCAGAATCAAACCCAGATCAGAGAAGGTTTCTGGTTTTCAGGTGGTTCCTCTTCTGTTTCTTAAGATTAGGTTGGGACTTTCAGGCAAATCAAAGATGAACATGGTTGTGATTTTGTAGGAATTTTTGGGTATCTCTCCATATTTTAAAGTTTGATGGTAAAGTTTTGCTATTTCCCAGACTCCTTAGGATTAGCCTGACCGAATCTTCTACCTATTAAGTAAACAGTTAACAAGCGACTCAGATAGTGATAGCTTCCACAGTGGAGGTTAAGTTGGAGTGCAGTAAACATCTAGTTTTCCGTTCAGGCTAAAACCTTTATTTTTGCTGGTTTAAAATATGAGATCTTCCACAGCGTGTGGGGAGAACGTGAATGTTAGAACTGATTTTTCTCCCTGTGATTGTTCTTTCCCTCTTTTATTCTATGTTTTTATGTATTCTCTCTTTACAAAACCTAACGATTGGGTTGCACTGGTGGATATAATTTTTTGAAAAGTACCGTGGGTGATATTTCCGGTTTATGTTATTTATCTGAGTTTCTTATGAAGAGTTGATATATATTTGTAGATATCCAAATTGTAAGTGAAGTTGACTAAGTACCCAGAAACTTAATATTGCACATTCAGATTTTTAATGCAGGTACAGATTTATATCTTTATATTAATCTCAATTTACTCACTTCTGGAGACTTTTTTTTCTTTTTGTCTATTGTTTGGAATCCATGTTGACAAATTTAAATTTGACTTATCAAGGAGATTAAAAGAATAGTTTTGGGTACACTCAGTTATATATACAGCTATATGTAGAAAACAGAGGCTTTCCTTGAAAAACATAGTGGTGCAAAATATTTAAATTTTCATCAAATGAGATATAGAAAGCAATGTGCTTCTACAGACGCTTTCTCAGAAAGCAGAGCACACTTTAAAAAAAAAAGGTTTTCTTTTTACATTTATTTATTTTTGAGAGACAGAGTGAGACAAAGTGAGAGTGGGGGAGGGGCAGAGAGAGAGAGAGGGAGACACAGAATTCGAAGCAGGCTCCAGGCTCTGAGCTGTCAGCACAGAGCCTGACGCGGGGCTCGAACCCACAGACCGTGAGATCATGACCTGAGCCGAAGTCGGACGCTCAACTGACTAAGCCACCCGGGTGCCCCAGCAGTGCACAGTTTTAATGCAGTTTTAATTAGGCAAACTGATTTTTGTCCTTATGAAGAGGAGACCATTTTAGTATGCCAAAAAGAGTGATCTTCTTCTAGGAGAAAAATTTATCCTAGATTCTTGCCCTAGTTACATTAACAGATTAATATTATTGCATGCCTAATTTTATGTATACCTGGAGTGTACATTTTTGTACACTTAAAACCTAGAAGAGGCTACTTCTAACATTTGTCTCACCAGCCCCTTTGAATTGATCAAATTATATTCCTGCTTTGACTTCCTGTCTAGATTAGCTAAACCAAATTAGGCTGCATAGAGCTCAGTGCAAGGCACTAGTAAGCTCTTGAGCAGGGTTCTTCTTTTTCAATAAGGATGGCCTAAAGAGCATGGGTATTGAAATTTGTTCGGGCTTATTGTCCTAATTTGGTTTTTTTGTTTTTTGTTTTTTGTTTTTTTTATTATTGTCCTAATTTGTATTAGGAATGGGATGGAATTCGAAAACACTCCCAGAGTTTCAGCTATTAGATTACACACTCTTTATCAGTTCTTAGAAATTTCAAAAAAAGAAAATAACAACTTGAATTGCTTGTTTATGTATTTATTTATAGGACTGGCAATTGGAGGGATAAGGTTTAACAAAGAGTCAGTGTGTAAATTAAACATTAAGAGTGTGTGGCCTGTTTTGAGAATTGCTTGGCAACTTGTAGTTATGCCTAACAGTTTTCTGGGATTGGCAGTGTAGTGTCTTTATGTGAGCTGGCTAAAAGATAACACCTAGTTTTTTTTGCTTTGTTTTTATTTTTGGCTCTGATATGTGGATATTTTTTGGTTTTTGTATAATTAGCAGTAACATTTTAGTGTAATCAGAAGCAGTGCAGAGAACCTTACATATTTTCAATTGATTTCTCTTCTGGTATGTCGGTGTTTAGGAAGGCATATAAATTATGTTTTAGTCTTCATGGTTGAAATTTTTTTCAGCTACTAAATGTTACTTCCAGAAATTTTGAATTTTTATGTAAAGTTGGGTTTTAAATATACTTGAGCAATATAAACTGACACTTACCAGTTTCTTTTTTTTTTTAAACAACACTAAGCTGTCCAGTTAAATTTGATAGGCTTGAAAATCTATAGACTTTTCCTGCTTGTTAGTTACCAGCGTGTTACCATTAAAGGAAACCCAAAATGGCCACTTGGGATTACTTGGAACCATCAAAGGACTGGTATTATCATTAGTAATAACCAAATGGAAGCTGAAAAGTAGCAATTTTATTCTTTATAATAGACCTGTGACTTTCAGATCCTTCCTTTTCATGAAGTTTTTTGTAGCCTGGTGTGGAAGCAGGTCTTGACTGTTAGAAGTGTGGACAGTGACCTCTCATTCCAGCCTTTATCGTCCTGCATTGTTTAAGAATGGCACAAACTCGTGCTGCTCTTGGAAAATGCGGAATTCATTCTTGGATTAATATTCTGCTACCAGATGTACGAGGCTGGCTCTGAAGAAGCTTTTTCTTTTAAATACTGTCAAAAATAGAGAAGCTGAAGATTGGAGAGAAGCCATTTATTTTGAACAGTTTATTTTTTGACAGTTTGTGTTTGTAAAGAAACCTGCTCATAATATTTACTTAAGAGAGCTACATAGTTGCCTGAGGAAGCCCCACAGGTTTCTTTTTTCCTTTAAAAAAGTTTCCATAGAGCTTAACTCTTATGTGATACTTCTTGACTTTGCTTTTGATTAGTTGATTTATGGACTTTATTTACCAGCATGATTGGAGAATTCTTTTGCTATACAGAAATTGCACTCTGCCTGTGCTCTGATCTGTTTCCTAGGTAACAAATGTACTGCATAGATTCCATAATGAGGACTGTGGTTGGCTGGTTACAGTGTAAATTCTGTTGTTTGGTAAAGCTTAGTCTCAAATTCAAATAAAGGTCAAGAAACCAAAAGTACTCAAGATGCAGATTTTTGAATTTTATTTTCTATTCAATGTCAACAAAGTTTAATATGCTTTTCTGGAGAAAGGCAAATTATGAAGCAGTATTCAAGTGTATTTTGTAAAGTTTTGAAACAGTTGGAGAGCCTTTTCACTATTCTATATTGGTAATACCAATGGCTTTAGTGACAAGATGTATTTCAAAACTTTGTCACACTTTAATATAGATAGCAAAGTGTTGTTGTCTAGGACATCTGTAATTGGTTCTTTTGTACTGAAAGAAAAGTAACATATATGTTGCTAACTTGTGCAATTTCATGTGAAATGCAACTTTTAAAAACTTGAAGAAGGCATTAAAACATTTAAGAAACTTTTAAAAACATTAAAAGTCTTGTTATAAAATGATGCATTTGACTCTAGCTATTTCCCCTCTGATCTGCCTGAACTTTGGCCCCCTCAGCACCTGGGAGCAAGTCTCTTTTAGGTAGCTACAAATTGGAAAATAGCTTTCTCCTTTACCTTACTGCCCTCTCAAAATCTATGGCCTGTATAGTTTTAGATACAGGGCAAGAAATAATATAGGTTCAATTATTAGTGATTATTACTTGTTTAAAAAAAACTTGCAATGAACCATAATTTCATTAATACTGACTGCAACTATCTTTTCATTTGATGCTTGCAACTGTTTTTGTTTGTTGATCGTCAGGGATTCTGTTAGCAAAAAATTTTTTTTAAGTTATTTATTTATTTATTTATTTATTTATTACATTTATTTATTTTTGAGAGACAGAGTCAGAGTACAAGTGGGGGAGGGGCAGAGAGAGGAGACACAGAATCTGAAGCAGGCTCCAGACTCTGAGCTGTCTTACAGAGCCTGATGCGGGGTTTGAACCCACAAACCATGAGATCGTGACCTGAGCTGAAGTCGGATGCCCAACTGACTGAGCCACCCAGGCGCCCCAAGTTATTTATTTATTTTGAAAGAGAGTGGGAACGAGTGCAAGTGGGAGAGGGGAAGAGAGAGAGGGAGAGAGAATCCTAAGCAGGTTCTGTGCTGTCAGCATAGAGCCTGACATGGGGCTCGATCCCAAGAACTGTGAGATCATGACCTGAGCTGAAATCAAGAGTTGGTGCTTAACCGACTGAGCCACCCAGGTGCCCCTGAAAATTTTTTAAAGTTAAT